GATGGGATCTATTGTCAAGCAGTGAAATGTAATTCAAATCCCAGTCACATGATCAAGTCACATGATCAAGTCAAAGTGTATCAAAAGTAAATTAGAAATTATTTAAAAATATTTCAAAAGTTGGAGAAAGTTTGTCTTCATTTGACAAGGGTATATAATAAATACTTAATAACTCGAGATTCCTTCCAGATATAAGCTTATTTTGTTTCCCTCATATGTCAATGTATCATGAGGCTCTGGTTTCCCTCAGTGCCAGTCATCAAGTGCTACATGTAATTATTCGACAATGAAAAGGGTATTGTCTTCCTGGTGGTTTCAACAGCTCTTGCTCATGATAGGCTAAGGGAATTGTCTTGGCAGGACTTGGACAATGGTCCTGTTTTCATCTGGCCACTATATACATGTATATTATATATTCTTGTCCACAAAAGTGTTTTTAAAAAAATTCAGAGAATACAATGTTATCAAGAACATACTTCTTTTTTATTCTGATCTCCACTTTACAATATGGGGTCCATAAAATTTGAAAGCATACAGCAAACACTCCACAACTGATTAACATTACCTAGCATACTGACAGGCAGTCGTTTTGCDAATATAAGGAACCGCCTTACCTTGCCTATAGCTCTCTCAATGTGTATTCTATGCTGGGCTATGGTTTGGGTTCTAATGACATCATCCTCACTAAATGAAGACTKGTCCCGTAGGAAAGGAGGGATGTTTAAATTTAGGCCAATCTCAGAAAGCTCACTACTAATATCAAAACCCTTATCAGCCATAATGCTATCTCCCCTTAGGATCTCTCCAACATCTATCTTTCTCTTCAAAAGCTTCATAAATCCACTTCGTTTGACTATTTCTTTGTCTGAAATAAGCCCAGTATATAAGTGTGATACGTACATTATACCACCCTTAGCATCAACCCCCACCAAACCTTTGACAGTGTTTGTAGATTTATAGTTAGAATATGTCTCAGACTGTTTCAGCAACGATGATGGGCACTCTATCTTCAATTCTGTACAGTCTATTATGATCATAGTTGATGGGTATTCTTCCTTGAACTTTGAAGGCATTTGTTCAATGATGACATCACGATGTGGCCATATCTTCAGCTTTCCAAAGAAGGTATACAAGTATATCAGCCATGAATTCACTAGGTTCGATACCCTGCCTTGTGAAATATAAAATCTTATGGCCAAATCTAAGTTAGTCAAGCCAAGCTTTAACTTCATCATAAACATCAAGAATTCATCCTCAACTGGTAGTTTATGATCCCGTGCATTGGTTTCTAGTAAATCATCAGTATTTTCAGAATCAACAAGCTGTGAATCTTCACTACTGTCAGTTGTCTTGTCACTGTCAAACAGTACAGACATGTCAATTTGAGTTTCACTTGCTGCCACAGTGTCACAGTAGATGATTTTACCTATAAATCGAGGTAAAAAGGAAAATAAAAGCTTTATCCAGTACACACTATTTAACAAGCTATTATTATATTAGTTTCAATCAATCATTAACAAGAATTATGTGGCTTATAAATTGAATATATATTTTACATACTCTTTTCATGTACACATGCATTAATGCATCATCATATTAAAAGTATAAAATAAATAGCAATTATTTATTTACTTCTATCTAAACCAGGAAGGACAAATTCTAACACCTCCATGAATCGTTCGTATGACTTAAAGCCAGTGAGATGACTTATGTAGTCTGTTTTTTTCTTTGTCGTGTCAGCCATTTCCAAGAGAGTTTCGAGTGAAAATCGGTGTAAACATGGAGTATCGCGGTCTACTTGAATTCCTCGTGAAACCCTGTTCTTTTTACTTTCCACTTCCAAAGTTTCCTCCCCTTCTGAAGCTGTTTCTGTTTGCTCTGCCAATGCTAGCTCCCTTTCCTCTTCCAATCTTCTTYTCTTTTTGATAAAAGGTCTAGCGACAACTTGCTTAGACCAAGCAAACACTGAAGGAATAGCCTCAGCTTGTAGTCGCCGTTTCGTGCTGAAAGAATTGATAAAATCTGTCTCTAAAAAATGTTCTGAACACACTTTAGTGTGTTCTCCAACTTTAAAACTATCCTTTGGATGATTTCTCTTAATCTTTATTGTCCAAATCTGTGATTACGATAAGAAAAGAACATTTGTAATACCGAACGTAAGAAAACGTAATTGGACTACAACACTAAAACAGCATCAAAAGTTTCAATAAAAAAACGTCAAACTTACCTTGGCTAGTGAGGGATCGTCAGGGAACTTATGGAACGATAAACCAGTGACCGTAGAATTATTATTACAGTCCCGTACACAGCAACAATGAACCATTTTAAAAGAGTGATTGAAAAAAACACGAGTCACTTGTCAAACGCGCCACCGTGTTTGTTTACCCAATTCAAATCACGTGACAAGTCGGCTGATTCGGTCTATTGCATTCTTTGGTTGTCAAATATTGCCAAAATTACCTTGGTAGGTTGGAAAATCTGCCACAGATGGACCAGGAAAGCGATCTTACAATGATGTCTCCAATTCAAAACAAACCGTGATGGTCAAGCATTTTTAAAAGCACGTATCAAAAAAGGATCATTATAATGATATTGTGCATCAGTGCGTTCAATATGATGATATATGATCCCCTTAATAATAATTATATGCTAGTTGATTTCAGTGGTAAAGGAACTATTTAATTTTTTAATTAACAGAGAGAAAATGATGAAAATATAGTATAGTTAAGACATATGAAAAGTCTGTACCAGATGGTAGAATAAAGTGACAAACATCAGTAACTCACGCTACTTTTACTGAAAATACTGATTTAATAATTTAATAGTTTTTTTTTTTTTTCGCGTGGGCTTTCCGTGATTTTAATTTTTCTTTGAGATGACTAATATTTCCAGTAAACGTGTGTAGATGATGTTTTTCAAAGTTTGCAGAAGAACAAAATGAAGTACATGTAGTCACGACTTGCAGGTACTGACCATGACGTCATACAAGAAGAAGAAGCCTAAGTAAATAGTTGCACTGATGCCAGTATGGACACAAGTATTCAATAACACAATTATACTAATGATGGCATATCACGTTACTATAAAAACCGATATCAAAATCAGGTGTTTTAAAAGCATTTCAGGTCTGAACTGACAGGGAAGGGCGAAATCATGAACTCCACGTTAATGATAGTTGTTATGATTTTGTGCTGCATTTTGACCTCAGTAAATGGTAAGTATCAGCAAGCTATTCTTTCAGTCACCATTTCCTTTCTGAATAATATTATCTGTAATACAGATAGCAACAAAAAAGCCAGATAGGCACGCGAAGATAAGAATTTATTTTTTTATGCACGATGATTCCACCAGTCAGGTCGCCTTTTTTTTTTGCTCCCGAAGTGAGAATTCAAACCGACGAACCGAAACTACGACTTATGGAATCAGTCTATGCGAATTATCTTCGAGTGTTGAATAGACATAAAAGAAGAGAAGCGAAGGCTCAGGGGAAGAAAAAGGACTGTCTATTGTTTCCCCATGAAGTTATCTTCAATGTTTTTGGGCATGGTTAGTCATGAGACTCACATGAAATGTTCTGCAATTAGTAAAAATATCCATGAAGAAAATAGGTTTAAAACTTAAATTAGATTAATAGCAACCCGAGTTACTGTTACTATGCCAACAACGATATATCAAATGTGAAAGATATGACACTTGATTCATAATGACTGTTTAAAGCCGGCAATCTGACTCGCTTGAGCGGAGGTAGTTTTTGGCGTATCATGGACCACGGGCGATATTCGGGGTTTTATCAACTATAATTTTATGTAATAGGACTCCATGCTGTCCAATCAAGAAAATAATTGGACAGTTACCTATTTAAGATTAACAAGTGGATACTGATATAATCAAATAATTAGTATCCAAAAATGTGACATATATGGCAAATAAAGAAAGGCTGGGTTCTGCAAGTTGCTTTATCGTCATGTATCAAATGGCATAATAATGTGATATGTGACATGCTTTAATCGACTTACGATACGGTATGGAATCCCCAGCTGAAGCTGAAAGCTATACGTGTCTATGCACAATGTCAATATAATATTTTCAGTTCTGACAGATCATTTTTTGGAAAACATCCCATATGAACATTTAAGTGTTTTTCAAAAACAAACACGTTAAAGCGGAAAACTTTTTTTTCAAACACTTTGGATAGAGTCAAACATATTAATCTCCCTATTTTCAAAAGTTTCTTATGCGAATAATTTTCATTGTATATATTATCAACAAGTAAGCAATTTATTTGTCGAAAACAGTCCTCAGACATGAAGCGAGGTCATGGGTGCTTCACACTTGGTTTCAGTTTTACCGACGATAGAAAACTATCTAATCATAGCACTTTGTGCTGTTCTTTGTTGAAGAGCTCAAATCATCAATCACAGTAATAATTGAGGGCTTATAATACTTTCCCAAAGCAACTCTTTTATGATTTTGTATAATAAATCATTCCTTAATTAACGTTGAATGTGTTTGTTTATTTTGCATCTACTAAATATATTTTTATATAACAAGATTTACATTAGAAGGTATTATGTTTCTATTCTTCAAAATAGCGTACGTACTACATCTGCTGACTAACACAGCTGCTATCAGATCTCCGCTATTATTATCATTGATTTATTGTAGGACGTCAAGTTAAAATCGTCAAGCCGCTGCCCAGTAATTTGTGCGTCATTGAAAACGAAACAGCCCAAGTAACTTGTGTTGCTGCTGGAATAAATGGCACTCGACCTGACAAAATAATATTTTACAGACAAGATGAATTTGGTGGTCTAAGTATAATATATGATGAAGGACGAAAAGGTCGCATATTTTATGAAAATAAAACTGAAGGTTGGTGGCAATTTTAAACATCCGCTCTTTGAATAGTTCTCCACCCGGAGATAGACATTTAAAATTGATTTTCAGTACTTAATCGGAAATACAACTATAGTAAGTCTTTTGAAGATAGGTTGTGCATCTACGTCTATGCATGAATTATTTGGAATTTCGAAGTCAAATGCCGAATTAATGAAATTATTGTTAGAAAAACTGATTTATGATGATTTACAATATATGTAATAATTATATAGATGGCGGGAAAAGACTAATTGTGACGCTACATATCAACACCGTACTGCCCAAGGATAATTCTTCGCGTTATGGATCGTATGAATGTCATGCATTCGCAGGAGCAGCTTACGATGCTTACGGGTTTACAGTTAGCTTTATCTCGTGTAAGTACTGTTAGAAACTCTAGAGCCACATATCCTCTTGGCCCAGTCGGCTGAAGAAGGAGAAGAAAAGTGGGGGGGGGGGGGGGTGTTTGTTTTATATCACTCTTAAAATCCCAAAATATACTTTTTTAAACTATCGACGAATATGATACTAAAAAAACGAACTTTGAAATTTGATGGCATAAATTGACATTGTTGGTTTCAGTCCATGAATTGCCAGGAATACAAGCATACGGCAACTTATCTGCGTCAATTGGTGAGAAGGTTGTTCTTCGTTGCCGATTTATTCCATCTTCCAGAGCACGTCAATTAGTCGATGGAAAATGGTTCAAAGATGGCATAGTTACCAACAGTGAATGCAAAGAGGTGTTTTCAACTACAATCATTAATCCCAGTGATGGTGGCTGGCATAGCTGTATTCTAATGGCTGATTTACAACCGAGGTTGTACAACATGACAAGGAGCTTTTTTGTATCGGGTTAGTCTTACCGATTAATCTAAATTTCGACCATTAACTATATAATAGTAACTTTCACTGGATTTCGCATTTCAGTTTTTCCCAGTGTCTTATAGCACAGGAGGTATTAGACCTAGAAACTCATCATGTATACTATTTTCAGTGAAGCCTCAGTTTTTCGCCAAAGATTTGCAGTGGAACGAAGTGAAAACAATCAAAGGAAAATCCACCAACCTGACATGCTCTGCAAAAGGAAACCCATTGAAAACTGAGTGGAAAATGCATTTGAAAAGCAAATACCAAACACTGAGACCATTGAACGTTTCAGGTACTTTACAATTCACTTATAACTTCTAACTGGATCTAAGCTAGTTTCTCTAACAATTCGAAAGAAACTCTTGCAAACTTCTCAAGCTTATTAAATTCAGCGTCTAGTCACATAAAAATCATATTACATCGAGTTACAACCATAAATTTAATTTTATAGAAAATTATACTACATATGTTTTCTCCAATCTTGACAAACTGGAGAAGCACACGCTCATGATCGTGAACGTTAGCCTGGCAGACCAGGGAAAGTATTACTGTTGTATTCATAATGCTTCAAGAGCACAAGATGACATCGACGGCTGCCAGGTTTTTACATTGAAAGTGAAAGGTAAGATTTGCAATCATTGATCAGTATTGATTGTTAGTTGCTTGCTTAATGAGCTTAACACGGTCTGTGACAGACTATAGCATCTTAGTAGTTTGTTCAATTGGATGATCGATACGTTTTTTTACAGACCTACCCGTCAACTGGACATCAGCTAAGTTTGAAAACATCCTACAACAGGTACATTGGAAGCATCTTAGCTCATCCACTAGATGAATTATGAACGTTCCCTTATAGACAGTAGTCGCTATTTTGTGCTTTTATGAAGACAAAAATATTCTAATATTCTAAAAATTCAAAAATTTGTCAGGCTGAAGCAGAGACTTACAATACAAGTGAACTGCTCAGCGAACTGGAGAATGTCACCAAGAAAGAAAAGATTTCAGGAGGAGACCTGGGCCTCACAGTGAAGATCTTAACAATTCTAACAAACCGCAAGAAATTCGATTTGATTTCTGAACAACAAAAGTTTCTGGCAGTCTGCAACAACATTTTACAGCCAATGAACATTGATAGCTGGGAACGTTTCGACGAGGCGAGAGAAAAGGTAAATGTTAGTTTTAAATTTTTAAAAGTTTATACTTCACAACACAGCATTAAGCTGTAAGAGAGCCGAATAGTCGAACTCACAGGACCATGATGTGCGTATATTAACTAATCTATTTATGAGCCTTTTTACTCATATTCAAAGTATATAGGAATATATCAGAAATTATGGGATATCATCTCCAATATTTTTACCTTCCAAAAAATACCAGCCATGATATTCCATAATTTCTGATATATTTTCTATTACTTGGAATATGAGTCAAAATGCTTACAATTCCTGCGCATTGCTGTATTTATTCTTATTTTGATATTTCTTAGAAAGAAGTGTCCTTGTCGGTTGCGCTGATCAAAGTCTTAGACACCTATGGCCTTATACTTGCCAAGCAACTTCCAAGGAATTTTAGTAAAGTCATTGAAGCACCTAATATTGCCATGAGACTTGATAGGATTTCCACTGGACATCAGGTAAACTGCATCAAGACTTATAGGCTCATCATCACTCTGGATTGTTATTGCGTTGTTACCTCGAACGATGATAAAGCATCAAGGTCGAACCTTGTAATAAAAAGCGTCCAAAATTAATCAGTTTATCACCAAATCAGCATACGCAGTGCCCCGTTCCACTTCTGAGAATTAATGCCTAATAGTTTTATTGTGTTTCCTATGAGATCATCTTCGGGCGAGTGCATTCTACGACCTCCCGAAAGAAAAATCCCCGACCCTTGCATTCTTAATGTTGAAATTGTAAAATTATTATCTTGTTCTGATTCAAAAGGCAAAGAAAACAGGTTTAACATTCAAGTATGAAAAGTTTCAAAGCTCACTGAGCATACCTGCTGAAGTATTTAACGGTGACAAAGAGAGTTTCGTGGTTACCATCGTATACAAGACATTTAATAGAGTCATGGGTCTTCGTGGTATTAACAAGGTGTGGATCAAACATCCTACACATTTACCTATAATATTCTAACTACTCATTGAACATATTTGTATCTTTTAAAAAGCTTGCCGGTCAAGATGATATTGAAGTCTTTAAATCGACATCAACAATATTTTCAAGTGTGGTCGACCCTCCAATGTCTGGAAGACTCCGCAATCAAAAAGTTAAAATTGTGATGAAAAATACAAAGGTATTACGTAGAAAACAAAACCCAGAAATTCATAGCAGAGACCGAAGCAGAACCTTGTTCACACTTGACAGAAGCATGTTCTTCTGCTCTTCAGTTCACACTCATAATCTTTCAACATAAGCAGAAACAGAAGCAGAAGAAAATGAAAACGTTTTCATTTTCAGTTTTCATTTTCATCTGCTTCTGTCTCTGCTTCTGTTTTCCCGGTTCACATACAAAATACACTTCTTCAGCTACTGCTTCTATCACAGTGTGAACCGACGCTTAGCGATAAATAGAGATATTTGTGAAGCCAGATTCAGAGAAGCATGACTTGTTTTCAGGTTGCTGAGGAGAGTCTACGACGAAAATGTGTATTTTGGAAAGAAGGATTACCAGAAACGTGGATGACTGACGGTTGTAGGCTGGTACCTAGTGAATCCAACAGTCATGTGACTACTTGTGAGTGCGATCACTTGACGGTGTTCGCGTCCCTCATGGATCCCTACGGTGGACTGGTAATGAGCAGACCATTGATCGTCTGAACGTGATGGAAAGATAGAAATATGATAGTGTTTGTAAATCTTTCAGGTTGCAGAAGACGATCGTAAGGCTCTGGAGTTGATCTCTACCACAGGCTGTGCCATCTCCTTGTTTGCCATCCTCTTGACTATTGTTGTAACCTTGTTCTTCTGGAGAGTTCTCAAATCACCTCGAACCATTGTCCTTATGAACATTTGCGTGGCTATTGGTATAGTTTGTATTCTTGTCATAGCAGAAGGGACTGCACGAACAACAAAGGTAAACAAACGTTGTAGAGAATAAGACTAATAAGCTTGTTGGATTTAAACTGATGTTCTTCGCTTTCTTTAAGGTTGGTTGTACTGTGTTGGCGGTATTACTGCACTATTTTCTTTTGGCCGTGTTCTGCTGGTTTTTGTGTGAGGGACTGCTTTTATACCTTCTTATTGTCAAAGTAATTGGTGGAGGAGTGGGGGAGAAGGTCAAGTATTTTGTGCTGTTTGGATGGGGTAAGTTCGTTAGTTAGAACATCAATAAAAATAACCTTCTGTTTGTTCATGTTTCTATTTTCCTCTGTCCAGGTTTTCCACTGCTTGTTGTTGGCATCTCATTGTGCGCCACCCAAACAGAAGGATATGGTTACCATGGACTTCAGACCGCTTGCTGGCTTTCTGTGGACAACGGGCTCATCTGGGCATTTATTGGACCAGCTGTTGTCATTATGCTGGTAAGCATCACAGACTGATTTGGTTGCTAAACAAATGTAGTATAGTGCTCTTGAAATGCCAGTTTCTTTATCTGTCCAGATCAATATGGTTGTATTCGTTCTGGTCATACGACAAATGATGGGTACACGTCATGCGCAGACAAAGTCACGTGATGAAAAGTTTCGCATGGGTGTCAAGGCAACAGCGGTCATTCTTCCTTTGCTGGGTATCACGTGGGTGTTTGGTTTGCTGGCCTTCAACACTGCGACCTTGGCTTTCAAGTACATTTTCGCTATCTTTAATTCGTTGCAAGGACTGATGATCTTTATCTTCCATTGTGTCCTTAACCAACAGGTAAACTTGATGATCTTGCTTATACATGGTCCAACGCTTACACTATGATACTCTCTGCGTAGCATACGTTTATTGCTATTAGCCATAATGACATGAATAAGGATGGCAAAATCTATTTAAGTTTTCTCTCACACTATTACAATGAGAGTCTGTTTTCTCGAGTTCCCTTGTGTATGTGCACCTCATGACGAAGTCCCTTTAATGAAAGAATATGATCCAGACTAACAATCAAAATTCTGCTGGAGATTCAAATGCAACATTTTCCTGGAGATACGTACTGTTTGTATGATATGAAGCTACCCAGCAACATAACTAAACTAAATCAAAATTCTATCTATATCTTAGATTAAAGATGTAGTTCAACGAAGAATCCAAAGCACACCGGAAAATAAACAACAACATTTGTCAAAGAGAATCAACGTTGCAGCTAATGGTAAGGAGACACAGAAAACGTTTTCAAGACAGCATCTGATTGAACTTTGCTTTAGCTCAGATCGAGGTTTTTTTAGCTATTACCAGTCATGCCAAGGTGACATCGCGATAATAGAGAGCTTAAGCATCACGTTTGAACGGCAAACTGCAAACCTCAACTTGCCGTTTTCCGGCCAAACTACAGCGTTTTTGGTTCAGCTTCGCGTCTACGCCAAGAAGTCTGAAAAATACTCATGACAAATATATCAACCTCGTTTGCTTGGACGTGTTTAGTGCGAATGAAATCGGGTCACGAACTTGAAGCACGTCACTTGAAGCAAGTCTCTACTAAGATAAAAGTCTAATGGAATCAATTGAGTATTTATTGTTTGGTAATTTGTATTGCTAGTATGATTTTTGTATCGTTTTTATTTCATTTTTTCAGAAGATGTTAGTCCATTCTCCATCGAAAATAGCAAGAAATCTCCCAAAACACGAGAAATTGGAAAGCAAGAGACGCTGCAATCAGAAATCTCCACTTCAACCCATCTTTAGTTTTCTTCTTTCACAAGATGTCTGATTTCGTATCGCGTTGAATTCACGTTTCAAAAAATTACGTTCATGCCATCCATTTATTAAACAAGTATATTGCGTTCTACGTACAACAACTATAGCTTTAAGGTTACTCCCAACTAACGGCGAGTGATAGCTTTCGTTTTTTAAATTTTTATTCTTGAAAGTTTTATTTAAGGCTTTTAAATTTGAGAAAAATCGATGGATTTTTGCGCGCACGGAAGGCGGCAAACAATTTTGAGATCACTGTTTGAATATTGGCTGGTGTTGGCCATCGTGCCATCAGATTTAAAGTCTCACCATCAGAAAGGTTAATAATTCAACTATTACATATGTAAAAGTCAGAACTATACGGGCATTTTTGATGCGGAGCGAGCGAGTTTAACAAAGACAAATTTCACTCGCCGTTAGTAGTTAGGAGTAACCTTATATTATTAATCTGAACTAATAAAGTGAAAATAGACATGGTGATTTGTCACTTGGGGATGTGTGCTGTCACAGGGGATGACGGTTCAGCAACTTGGACTTGCATGCCATCCTAATAGTGATAGAGGAAGATGAGATATATTCTCTCTAGTTTCATTGGGTGCTAACACAACATTTAAAAAATCAAAGAAAAATACCGTACTGAGGATATGTCCTGCAGTAAGCTATTGCAATTCCATCTGGGACTCAAAATTTGAGAGAATCATTTCCTAATTTATAATTAAAATGAGCCAGTGCGAAACATGATGGTGTCTGCACAATTTGAAAGTCCTCTTATCAGCCAAAACTCACGAGAAGATCCACACAATTAACTTTTAAAAGAACTATTTTTATTAAAAGTGTAGTGAGTTGTAGGTGGCTAATAGTGACGTGACTGGGTCTTAAATTGTCAAGTATTTGTTAGTTATATATATATATAATATATCGATAAAATACCTAATGAGTGCAATTTTAATGTATACATGTTTTATTGCCCTCAACTCGAAATTTCAATTCTTCTTTTTCTTAATTTACTTCTTAAAAATTTCTTATTAAAAATTCTTCTTCTTAATTTACTGTGAAAATTATCAAAATACATATATATCTTAAGAAAAGAGTTTTTATTTACAGAAATTTATAAATTTTCATATTTCGACGAATTTCCCTTGACCCAGAAATAGAACGACGCCTTGATTCTCATCGTCAGGTTGTTTCCTATTTTTTGAAACCAAGTCGTATACAATGTCTTCATCACTGGAGGATGAACTATTAGAATCAAAGACATGTTTGCTAGGTCGGTATTCATTTGATACGCTGTTCGTTTCTTGAAGGTAACGCTCGAATTCGTCCTCTCCCATCATAGTATCTGTAGAGCTTTCAGAGTGTTTTCTCTCATGTTTAACAGTGTATGAAGCGAGACTGTCGTCATCGTCTGTACTCTTCTCTTTTTGAGTCCAAGAAACATCGGACGAATAACCACTCAATGGAACGCCATAGTCAAAGAACGATCCTGTGTCATCTTGTTCAAAACCTTGATTTGTAGAAGAAAAATTTGATTGACTGTCTGCGTCTGAAGTCAAGGAGTTCTCCCGACTAACAAGTGGTGGAGAACCCACATCTGCAGATTTCACTTTTATTGATTTAACCTTGAGATTGTCTAATAATCCATTACAAATCTCAGCATCAACGTCCACCGCATTAAATTGACTATCTTTATGAATAGTCTGTTTCTCTTCATCGTCTTGAAATCCATTGCCGTTTTTTGTGCTGTCTATGTGATCATCCAATGCGAGATTTTCGTAGTAAGAGGCATCAGCAGGGCTCGGTGGGTTCAGACCTTGTGGGTCTTCAATATCAGTGTAAACTGGTTCATTGTCGTTTTGTTTGGACTCGTTTTTACCTGATCAATTCAAAAGGTACACATGATAGGAGGAAAATAGAAGCATTCATCATTGCCTTTATTATCATAATTACAAATTGGAGAATTTTTCCGACAAGGGAGAATAAACGAGCCGGTTAAACTTTGATACAGTTCTATCTTGTTGTCATATTCCTAAAGTCCATATATGAATAATAAAATTCAACAGTATTTTCGTACAACTACTATATCGTATCATCAACAGCACTAAGCAATAAACAAAGTGAATTGCAAAGTACGAAACCTATTTCCAAAAAAAAAAAAATCGTTCGATAAATAATAGCGTTTAACAGAATCATCCATAGCTTTCCTTACGAGTTTCATCTAGATTTGAAACATCAATATTGCTTGATGCGACGCCCCTCATTTCATTAATCAGCTCGCTTTTAGATTCTCTCTTTCGCATCATCTCGTAAGTATTTCCTGCAGATTCACTGTTGCTGTTGGTTCCTTGAAGACATAAATCAATACAATGAAATTATCTTAAAGTCGAAATTCATTACCAATTCGACCAATATAACCAAAATTATGAACAACTGGAATGCTAAAATATTTGGAAGCATATTGCACTCACCACTTTGGTTTTCTAGCTTTTTTCTCTTTCTACCTGGGGAACTTTTAGGACCGCTGGAATCAGAACTGCTGTATTGATTAAACCTTCGTTTTACAGCATCTTTAACCTAGATTCAAAGTAATTTAACGAACATAAATGTTTGTTGGTCCACTAGTCAGGGTCAGTATCGTGTCAGAGGTTTGACATTATGCATATTCGCAATCAATACTAATGCTTTATTCATCAGTTTCATTGTAACGCCTAATTTTACAGGTTTTACTGTATTCAGTATTGCTATCCATATGCAATCATTCTAGTGCAATGCATGACAAAGTGAAGATTGTCACCTGTTGATTAAGTACACAATGGAAGATAAAGATCATCAGTCCCTGCAGCGAATTTAGGATGGCGAAAATGTACTTGAAGGCTAAGGTCGCGGTGTTGAAGGCCAGCAAACCAAACACCCACGTGATACCCAGCAAAGGAAGAATGACCGCTGTAGCCTTGACACCCATGCGTAGTTTCTCATCACGTGATTTGCTCTGCGCATGACGAGTACCCATCATTTGTCGTATGACCAGAACGAATACAACCATATTGATCTGGACAGATAAAGAAACTGGCATTTCAAGAGCACTATACTACATTTGTTTAGCAACCAAATCAGTCTGTGATGCTTACCAGCATAATGACAACAGCTGGGCCAATAAATGCCCAGATGAGCCCGTTGTCCACAGAAAGCCAGCAAGCGGTCTGAAGTCCATGGTAACCATATCCTTCTATTTGGGTGGCACCCAATGAGATGGCAACAGTAAGCAGTGGAAAACCTGAACAGAGAAAAGAATATACAACTAGAAACATATAAGTTACATTGATGATTTTGGTGGTCATTCTACACTCACCCCATCCAAACAGCATAAAAAACTTGACTTTCTCTTCCACTTTTCCACCAATTACTTTGACAATAAGAAGGTATAAAAGCAGTCCCTCACACAAAAACCAGCAAAACACGGCCAAAAGAAAATAGTGCAGTAATACCGCCAACACAGTACAACCAACCTTAAAGAAAGCGAAGAACATCAGTTTAAATCCAACAAAGGTTAATTATTCTCTACAACGCTTGCCTACCTTAGTTGCCCGTGCAGTCCCTTCTGCTATGACAAGAATACAAACTATACCAATAGCCACGCAAATGTTCATGAGTACAATGGTTCGAGGTGATTTGAGAACTCTCCAGAAGAACAAGGTCACAACAATAGTCAAGAGGATGGCAAACAAGGAGATGCCACAACCTATGGTAGAAATCAACTCCAGGGCCTTACGATCGTCCTCTCCAACCTGAAAGATTTACAAACAATCACGTTTGAACATTTAAAACCACGCTAAAAGACGACCTAAAAGTTACTGCTCATTACCGGTCCACCGTAGGGATCCATGAGGGACGCGAATACCGTCAAGTGATCGCACTCACAAGTAGTCACATGACTGTTGGATTCACTAGGTACCAGCCTACAACCGTCAGTTTTCCAAATACTTGGTAAACCTTGTTTCCAGAAAACACAGGTTCGTTGCGGAACTGGATTGACAACCTATTAACCAGTATAACATAATAATAGACATTATAAGGTACCTGGTCCAAATATGGCCAGGATTCAATGGCCCAAGATACTTTTGAAAACAGTCCCAGCCATTTTCTTATACTTTTATAGAACAAGCATGCATGATTATAGCAAATTGTGGAATTCTCTCTCTTTTTGAAGTATTAAAGGTAATCAAATGAACGTTTACAGATCACCAAACAGCAATGCTTTCAATGTATTCTTATCATAGGATTCCTGTCGAACGATTTCTTTTCTATTCACAAAAGGGCAGCGCGGTGTAGTAAACAACGCTCATGTGTTACATAATTGATTGACAGGTCTCCGTTACCCTCTCATTTTTCACGACGATTTTAACTTTGTCTTTTAGTTTATCAGTTGGTGCTGGAATGACAAGGCTTGTAACCATGGTCGTGTTCGCCGTTAAGACGTCGCTATCGTCTTGTGTCGTGTTGGTGTCATTTTTAAGACGCATTACAGCGTTGAGTGTTTTATAAACGAGACTGACAACACGATGACCTTGGCCATTACCAAACACTGACGCCGGTATGTATAATGAGCTTTCAAACTTTTTGTATTGAAACTGAAGACCCTTCTTTGCTACCTGTACAAAAAAATGAAGAAAAAAGACATGAAATGATGCATAAATAAATTCTTTTCAAGCCAGCTGACTTTCGCTCTCTGTATAAATGCAATCAAAATTTTTGATTAGTGAGATCACAGAGATCAAGTTTGTAAACCTACATACCTCATCTTGCTGACCAACTTTGTCCAGTCTCATTACAACGTTTCTGGTCGTGATCACTTTTTTAGAGCCTGCAATCTGATTGGTCAGCTGAAGACCATAGCTATCAACAGTAGAAATCAATCGATTCCACAAATACTTGGTGCCCTTTACAAAAATTACACGAAAATTCGCTTCTTAGAACTATACTAGAAAACTAATACTAACAAGATATATAATTGAGGCTGAACACGCAATAAACCATAGTAGTTACCTTTTGTAATTGTGCATCATACTGAATCCACCGCTTTGTGTTTGTCGACTCTAAAATATTACTGCAGATTTCCAAGAAATTCTGTTGATCTTTATCGGAGGTAATTGTAGTTTTATTGCTCACTTGGCTGCTATTGGTTAGGATGGTTAAGATTTTTACTGAGACATCTAAATCACCGCCAACAAGACCTTCTTTCTTGGTGGTGTTTTTTAGGACTCCAAGCAGCCCACTTGCGTTATATGTTGGTGTGTAATCAGGTGACACAATTGCTTCGGCCTGAAATATATATCAAGCATTGCATAACAAAGGTTTGTTTAGACTTGTGCCGGTTAATCATCTTCTAGAGTTATTCGCGTTTTAATCATAGTTGACAAGGTTAGTTTGCAGACAGAAAATGTACTCAATGTACTTTTTTATCTATTGGTAGACCGCAGTGCTACCGAACTATACCACAGTCTGATAAAAAATGCACGTTCACTCTATAACAACTTGGTTAGTTCTTTTAAAAAACTATAAAGAACGGACTGAAGCGACACTGAAAAACATTTTGAACAGAGCTGTGCAAAAGGTAGCCGGAAAAAACTATAAAAGAAAAATGAACTTATGAAAAGAAAATATTTTTTACCTGTAATAAGAGTTTTTTAAACTCCACTGATGTGCAGTTGCCAAAGTTCGGGTCGTCCCATTTCGGTTCTGAATTAGGACCTTTTAAACATCGCCTTGTTGCTAGACCTAGAATATAATTGTAAATTATATGATTGAAATGTATGTTTTTATTAGCAGTAAGGCTAATAAAGTTATCAGTCAGGTATTTTTAAATAAAAAAAACTTATTGCTTCCTTTTTTCTTTTTTTTTTTCATTGTGGACAACTGCAAACTGGATAGTTCTATTTTTCACTAATGACGGGAAAACACAGCGTTAGGTCAAATAACTACAGCATTTACCTGTAGCATTATTAGGACACCGTTTTATGTCAGTTAAACCTACTGCTGTCGAAAACCACAAGACATTGCTTCTTATTTCCCGTGGACACTTGGGAACGACTGAAAGAAAAAATCATAAAATTAATTGGTGGAAACTAGTGATAAACTAGTGTGAGCTGTGTCGGTGTTTCTAAAGAAACAGTTTTGTAAAAAGATAAATTGAACACCGTAAAAAAGTAGGTTAAATAAATAATAATCGATACGACAGTATAGAATCAATACTAATATCTTATTAACCGAGCGCGGGGGCCGTACGGGAAGTTATGGACCCAGTTTTTTTCCACTGACCGCTTTTTAGCCAATGAAATCGTGTGTTGCATCCGAGCTATACAATAAAATGTAGTTATATTGACTTACTTGGTTTAACGATGGTTAGCTCGGCTACTTGACTCACAGTAACGGGATTGTTTACAAGTGACTCATTGCGAACCAGCAAACACTGGTACCTCATTGTTTCACTATCATTTCCATTGCTGATCTTTAGATTAGTCAATGTAGCATTATTCACATCAATAACTTTGGGCGTGTCACCCACACGAACCAATAACAGCTTCATTGCTGTGACGTTTCCGCTGATCACCCGACAAGAGAAGATTGCAGAGTCCCCTGTGGAAGAAATCATCCGTCAATAAAAATGCTGGTCATGAAAATCCCTTTTGATAGTCCTTACTACGCAATAGTCTTCTTCATGGTTACCCTCGCCATCTTGAAAGGTAGCCGTGCCTTTGCATCAAAGCGAGACAACCGTTGAGCGTGCAAWGATAGAAACTTGTGAATAATTGTCTGTAGGTGTGAAAGAAGGTTTTTATCGTGAAAGAAGGTTGTATCGCACGCTCAACGGTTGTCTCGCTTCGATGCAAAGGTGCGGCTACCTTTCAAGATGGCGCAGGTAGCCGTGAAGGAGAGACTATTAAATAACTTTTCTCAGTCTGGCCGGTGACATTTTCTTTATAGTAAGAAACCGATCTATGACGTAGGATTGTAAATGGTCACATGTGTCGTGTGTTATCCCCGAAGTATAGAAAAACGATTTTATTGACAGGAACAAAAATCCGTCAAGTACATTTGATATCGATTTGATGTTACCTTCAACTTTCGTCAATGCCTTTGGAACAATAGAAATCACTGGTTTGACGACTAAAATGGATTTTTTGGAAGAGTCGGAATCGTTTGATTTCCTGAAAATATATTTGACCATAAATGGAAATGATATCAAATCAGGATATTCTAATATCTATATTGAGAGGTTTAGCTTTTTAGGTAATATTCGAGTAGAGACCATACCTAAGATTACACTGGTAAGCTCCTGCATCGGTAGGATCGATTTTTCGAATAGTCAAAGTGGATTCTTTGTCGTTTGATGCAATTTTATGTCGAACACCCGGCAGAACAAGTCGGTTGTCTTTCAGCCAGCTAAAAGTTGGTTTTCGTGGTCCTGTTGGCAAAGCTACACACTTGAACTCAATGGTATCTCCAGCAGAAGGAAAGTCATTTGATACTGATATATTGGAAGGGAGCCGGTCTGAAAATAGATTTAAGAAATTGATGAATCTATGTCCACATGCACATATGGTCAATGTATAGACAGTTCTTTTTGAGAGCTCATCTTTATGCTCAGTTGAATTCCTGGTTTATCAATAATGAAAAGTCCAGAGGTAATCAATTGTGTCTTTGAGTTTAAAATAACAGAAAGTGAAATTTCACTTTTTTCTGAAGACTCTGCAGCCTCTGTATACATTACCAGTTGGATATAATTATTATCAACGTACTTGACTCTCTTATCATCTTTGTCTTGGTTGGGTTGAGGATGTAAGGCTTGAACTGGCTTTCTGCTAATTCCAACACCGGTACTCTAAACTCAACGCCATTGGGTGAATTCGATCTCGAAGTTATTTGAATATCAGCAACAATGCTCCCCGAGCTAAAAAAAAATGCGCGTTATAATGAAGATCACGATGAAATTATATGATTCAAGAATGGAAACGTCAAGATATAAGACTGTAATTCGGTGATATGGATGGATATGTAGACAGAACTAAAAAAACAGTTTACCATGCACAACAACTCAACTCACCTAAAAGAAAGCACTTCAAAAGAACTCACGTGAAAAATGTTCCTGAACATGTTATTTAGCTAAAAATCAAATAAAATGAATGAATACCCGATAACATTTGACTTGTAAGTCTCTAATAGGCCAATATAAGATTATCACGAAACAGCCAGGAATGTGCTACTCGGTGATCAGTCAGTGTGCTGGGGTTCAGTATTTTTGGGGAAAAGTCCCAATCATAACGATAGTGATACAGTCCAATTAGAAGGAGTACATACAGTCCTTCATAATGAGCTGTAGCCCAGAATGTGACACCGTCGACATATTTCCACTCACTCGTCTGGCTGGTGATATACGGCTGACAATTGGAGTCTACTTCATTCAGATGGAGTTATTACAGCGGACATTGTTTGAATTGTTTTTTTTATTTAGACGGTCTATGAATTTTGTTTTAATACAGTCTATAGATAGTTATGCAATACTGAAATAAACTCACCCCTGCATTGATTGTGTCGCTGAGGTTTCTGTATTTCAGAGAATTCTTGTTTTTGTATTCAGTAGTAAAATTCACATTGGTGAAGGTAATCGATAAAAGGAAAAAGACATCCTCTACAAAAGCATAAACAATGTCAATGAAAGCTTAAATTCCACTTAATAAATTGTGTGTTCGAGAATCGATTAGCTGAATCTCGTTCTCGAGAAAATTAGACTGGTCCTGAAGGAGCAAAGTGGGAGTCGAGAGGAAAATTGGAAAATTGCACAACGGAGGAAATTTCACTCAGGAAAATCATGAAAAATGGGAATGGGATTTAGATTTTGAAAAAAATCTCTGAACTCAGAATTGATGGTGGCACGCGTGACACATCATAACACAAACAATATATGATATTGAATAAAAAAATATAATTCTTACTGTTATACAAAGTGGTAACTGGAAACCTAGCCCCAGGCCCCATTCCTCCGCTATTCTCGGCTTGTACTGTAAAGACATAGGGACTATAAGGCTTAAGACCGCTTATTGTGACATGCGTAGTCGTAGTGTTGATTCGTTGAGGGATTATAGGTTGAGGCAGTATTGGACCAATCAAATTAGCTCGTCGAATTCTGTGTCGAGGTGAAATCTTTGACAACAATCGGTACCAAGCTTCTATAATGGTTTCTTTTACGGAGCGTCGTCTTCGTTTTTTTGGTTGTTCTATTCCACCAGGTTGATAGGTTACCTGTTCATATAATATATAATTATTTATGCTGTTAGTACCCGAGTCGATTATCACAAAGCCAACATTCTTATTGGCTGTTCAAAAAACCGAGAACATCGAATTCAGTTTCATTAAATTTCTACGTAGTTTTTAATCTAATTTTTTTAATATTCTTGATTATTGTTATTATTCTATAAAAAAACAGTTGTGAAATGAGACAAATTTTACACGGTAAAAAAGTACGGGAAATAACTTACTTACTGACTGAGTAATGGCATTACTCCGACTAAGGACTGACGTCCGAAACGTTAGTAATCTATTTCCCTCACTTTATAACCGTTTCAATAGAAATACCGACCGCAGCTCATACTAGTTACGGCCAGTTTTCATCATTTTATCATTCTATAAGCATATTATATATCCATAAAGTTTTACACTAAAAATTGTTACTATATACCACGTATCGATCGACAGATCCACCGATAATGACAACCCTATCCCACTGTAGAGATACGCTATTGTCGGTGATTCCAGTTGCTCGTAGATTTTTTGGAGCCACACGTGGAGCAGGCTGTCCAGAGTAAGATGTAACTTTAGGACTAAATGGTCCAGTTCCGATGTTATTCCTGATTTGTATCCTAATATCAGTGAGTTGATAGGTGCCCATATTAGTAATGACTATACTTGTTGCGTCACATAGTGATCTCTGCCATGGCTTCCACGTACTCTCGTTATTGCGCTTAGTATAAGGTAGGATTACACAACCAGCTCCATTCCAATCTATCTGAGGAAAACTCTGAAGACCCAATCAAACGGCAAAAAATTATTTCTTTATACCTGATAAAACACTCTCCCTCGTGTTTTAAACTATACAATACAAAATAAGCAGATATGTGATGGTTTCATAGTTTATGTTCATGATGCATTAAAATAGCTATGATAACTCAGTAGAGGATAACTCAGATAACACATCATACAGTACAACTCTTCTCGTGAAAGCAAGCTTATTATGTACTGACCCTACAGTTGGCTTGTTTTATGGGAGATACTACCCCCCCCCCCCCTTCCCTAACTTGGGTCCATGCAGACCCAGACCTAAAATTCCATACCCTATCTCAGAATGAAAATTAGAATTGCAAACCCTATTTTGCTACCTTTAAAACGTAATTGAATTTTTTTCGAACGAAAGTGGAGCTTATTATAGTAACAAGCCGAAAACCATACCCTATTGTGTGGGACATACCCGGATAGCAAATACAGGGAAGAATCCCCCCATGACTCATCATGTTGTTGTAGTTATACACGGAGTTATATAAACTACTTCGACAGTGTCACACCATATCGTTTCGTTCCTTTTTGCAATTTGATTATTCCGTATATGTGCTGTATACGTTATTCGTTGATACTCAAAAAAGGGCGTGTTTTATCTACAGTGTCATTTAAGCATACTTTCCACTCGACTGATATAGACCCGTCCGTTTTGTGAGGTTGTGCTTTAAGACCATCTGGAAATTTCGTAGGCTCTGTAAAGATACAGATATAATAATCATATTCGTCTTAGATTCCTGTTCTTTCCATTGTGCCTGAGACTGATACCATATCGTTTAGACGACATACGATACTAACAAAGTGATGAGCAACGTCGATTACTTACTGCCTTGTGTTGTGATGCACAAGGAGGACGGCTTGCTTGGCAAACCTATTCCTAGGTTATTACGTCCTCTGACACGAAATCGTAACTTTGCTCCAGGACTTAAATCTTTGATCGTGTGTTTTTTGTTGGTGATCTTGATGGAATTGATAGTTTTGTACACATTGGGCGTAAATTCGTCTCCAATTTCCAAAACGTACGATTCGGCTGGAAAGGAGGGAGTCTTGATGACATCCCATGACAAAGTGGTTGTTAAACTAGAACAGTTGGTGATATTTAAAGATATCGGAGGGAGAGGTAGTCCTAAAACAAGAAATACGGATTGATCGATATACAACAATTGCAATCAAATCATTTCGGAAAACAAAACAAAACTAGCGCATGAAGATATGAAGAGGTATCTGCTTTTTGTTTGAAATGTTAAAATAATACATTCGTGATAATTAACATGATTTGTGATGAGCAGAACGTCTTTCAAAAGGTCTTAAAAGACCTTAAAAGGTCTTGGTAAAGATTTTATTGTTCTTTGACTAAAAGAAGTTCTTTGCAGCTGTTATGGTTATATTTTCTTTAGCAAAATCTTATCCTAAAAGCACGTAATCATCGCCCTAATAGACAGAGAGATACTTTAGTATTAGTTTTATAGTTCTAGTGTACTTCACAACTGATCATGATTGTACATACCAACAACGAAAAAAGCATATCCGATAGACTCTTTACCATCGATGTAACACTCAAATATGCCGCTATCTTCAATAAGCAAAGATGTAACCGACAATGAGCCGTTGGAATAAACTGTTGATCTGCTCTGAAGTCTGTAGGATATACCGAAATGTTAGAAAATCATCAAAGGGGAAAGGGTTGTGGACTCTGAAGCGCATTAGCTAGAGAAAAAAAAACCGATTTATTAAATCGATAAAATACTACTCACTGTGAATAGCTGTCAACTGGTGCGCCATTGAAATACCACTTAAATGGAAATGTAGAAATACTGAAAGGCTTGATATGGCAGTTAAAAATGACTGAATCCTTGTGCTTTGCTGTCAAATAAGTCCCTTTATAATCTTTAAATACAAACAGCGAAAACAAAAATAGGCATCAATCAAAACTATAAGCCCACGAAATGTTCCACACTCTTCTTCCTCTCGATCTTTATGATTTCATGTTTAGAAAGGTGTGAAGCGTTTTATGAGTGATTGCAGAGAAAAACTAGAAAACATATTGTCAACAGATCAGGGTAAGAATATAAGAATGTCTCAAGGTTCGTGTCCCCTCAAGTCCTTGAAAGACCTTGAAAACAACTGAGATGTTAACTGATGTTGCTGCCCTTGTTTCTCCACTTTGTGCAAGGATAGTAGACATCGACCGATTCAGAAACGCAAAAGAGCCCAACCACTTGGCCATTTATAATGCATGTTTATTAGAATAAAGTTGAATTTAATTCAAATTTCGGTCTAGAGTCAATACTCAGGGGATCGTAGTGTCAAAACGTCCTTATAAATAAACACTTACTGATGTAATGCAGTTTAATATTAGCGAACGTTTTTGATGATGAGTTGGCCATGACCTCCACTCTGTAAGTCCCAGCAGTTTTTGAATCTGTAGCAGTGATTTGTAATGTTCGATTCGCTTTCTGTAATGCTAATGGCCCTCCTGCTACCAAAGGTTTTGAATCTTTGTACCATTTAATAACAATAGGTTGTACTCCGAATGGAATACAGTGAAGCGTCGTAATGTCGCCTTTGGCTACGTACATATTGACGTCGGTGGTGGGAAAATTGAAACTTCCCGTTTTTTCTGATTTTAACACTGAAATGAATCAGAACGTCATGTTAGAAAGCGCAGCAAACTATGATTATCCAACGCCAAAGTGGGAAATATTTTCTGCATCATGATAACCATCGTTATAGTTTTCTTTGCTCAAATCTTCATACTGTAATGAAACGTATTTCGCTGCGCACGCACTCGTTATATGTCATTCGAATCTCTGAGGCCATGTAATATCCTCTCGATATATATACCCACCTCTGACTCCTTCCAAAAACACAGAGTTTGAGAAAGCGTCTGCAACAAATCCAATCATCCGACACTGTATTCCCTTGGTTATGTTTATATTCACTATATCTTGATTGGTGACTTGCGAAAAGTACAAAGTACCGTCCGAGTCCTGGAATACACGATTAGTTTGAATCATGAAGGGTAATGGCTCTCTAGATGTCACTCCTATCCATCCGTAAGTAACACCATAGCTATATGTGTGTGAGGGACACTTTAGTACCAGCCGCGCACCTGTCGTCACATTTAGTGTTATTGGAGAACTAGACAGAAATCTTCCCATCACTGAAACGCAATCAAACATTACAGTATGAAAGCATATAGTTTGATGCATTGATACATACTCTATAGATTTTAAAATGTTTCATTATATGCCACCAGGTAAAAGTTTTTGAACAACAAAAATCCCAGCGAAAGCATCAGGATTCGAACCCGTGACAATTCAGATACCATACACTTGGACCTGTCAAACCTGATTTATCGGTGTTACCTGTTAACCCTGTATCTTTCTTATGACATATGTGTTGTAACCGCAAGGCTGTTATTCCTTTTTGGTTATATTCATTGAGTTGGTTTTATATCATTTATTGCATTTTGTTACCTATTTTTCAAATCACCGTTTAAGTCAGAACCAAAAACCGGAACTCATAAATACATGATTCCGATCTTAGCTTTTTTATTGACTAAAAGATCAGATCAAGTAATTTTAATCAATATTAGAAAGTACCTTTTACTTTGACTTCAATGGTAGGGCCACGCATTTTCCCGCCATCACTTGTTACTATACAATAGTATGATCCTTCAAACCTAAGACAAAGACGAACATTGTTGTCATATTACATATACATGTTACATCATGCTACATGTCGTGAGAGGTTTCTTAATTAGACAACAACATTATCTACAGCATCATGATCACCACAACATCACGCTATGGTTACGACATATTGAGATAACAAAAAGATCACAGCATGACAAAAAATGCAATGATCATTGTTACAACTTTACCTTGCTCGCATGAATGCGGCTTCGTAGAACACGCAAAGATGCCCGGCCTTGAGAAAATGGTCACACTTTGCAGTTGACTTGACCTCTTCACTATCAAAGTGCTTAGGTCATGGTATGTCACCGCCGCACCGAAGATCACGGCATGACAATAGTCTGCGTCACACCAAACCACGGTTAAGTCGGATCCGTTAAGTCGGACTTAGCCTTGGTTTGTCCGGATGTGATCGACGCAGGCTACATGACAATCACAGTGATACTCCATTGTCAGATCATGATTACCACGCCATGGTAATGGCGATGAATGGTAATGGCGATGTCATCATTGTAAGACCACGCAAACATAATAAATCAAACAATACACAGACAATCAAGGCCTTGCCGACATGTGGTCAGTTCTAGTCACGAAACGATCAAGCGATGATCAAAGCTCGGTCACGCACGACATAGGTCTTTTCTGCATTAGCATAGGTCATTGCGTTCTGGTTCAAAATCAGCACAAATATATTTTGTTTTATCACATTTACTCGAGTCGGATTTCCTGTCCCTCCTTATAACAACATTTGTGGAAAGGCACAGGAAACCCAGCGATTGTACTTTCTATATCTCCACCGTTTTTTGTTAACGAGTGAACCGATTACTTTCAAGTTCTACAGTTCTACACATACCGATTTCTGTCTTTACTTGGGTTTAGGATGTGAAGATTTCCTGTTTGATGGTTAATTGTCACACCATTTTTTCCGCTGGTAAGTAGAGTCCCATTAATATACCAATCAAATTGGTAAGCCCCTTGAGGATTATTCAATAGTGGACAATTTAATGTCAGGTTATCTGTTGGTCCTAAGGCATTTGTACCAACTCTGTTGAGTTTCTGTTGTGTTCTGTTCACGTCTGGGTACCAAATGTGTTCGAGGCCATAGTACTTGCGAATACCTGACGAGAAATATCGTCAAAAAAAGTTGTCAGAAATAATGGGGAATGACAAGTACCGAATGGAGATTGCATGATCGAAGGAACGATGGGTTTTGATATATTGATGGAAATTAATAACTGATTTATATAGTAAAATATCATGACGAAGGATTAACGTCCGAAACGTCAGTAAGTTATTTCACATACTTTTTTATGGTGTTAAATTTTTCTTTTTACACAACTGTTTCTTTAGAAACACCGACGCAGCTCACACTAGTTTATCGCTAGTTACCACCAGTAAAATATTATGTTTTTTTGTACCTATTCCACAGTTCGGTCCTGTGTACAGACTTGTGCAGAGACATCTGGGCTTGTTATCGTCGGATACTACGCATTTTGCTTGATTCATACACATTTCTAATTCGTTTCCTGAACAATCTCTTGCTGCAATAAATCATTAAAGATACATAGTACAGTAATGGTGTACTTCTAAGAGATCAAGATCCCATCAAAGTACATAGTACAGTAGAGGCGACTTTCTGACCCGGAGTTAGCCTGCTAACAGGCGTTCCTGCTGGGGGGCCGAGAGAGGCCTAAGATCCCATCAAAGTGGAATCAGAACTTATAAGTGTGGTACTGAGGAGTGTTCGAGTAATGTATCAAGCACACATTCAGAAGGATAAAACTTAACAAAAGTCAAGAGTAGATTTGCATTGTGCTTTAGAAGGGTAATTGTAATTCATACTTACAAAATGATGGAGAAATCCAGTATAGAAGAATAGCAAGAATATACCACACGGATGTATTCATCTTGCAGCTTTAGTATATTGACTGATATAAATGAATGGAAGAAAGACATTCTCATTATTTAAAAATGAAGACAGCGTTCAGCGCGGCTGCACAAACAAGACAGGTACTGATGAAGACATACTAGAAGGTTATTGCCCGACCTCCTGCGCATGCCTGTGATCTATAATCTTAGTCTCTATCACCTCTATCAAAAGGGAATTCTAAACATCCCGTTGACAGCAGAATCGTCTTGAATTATTTGATCACGCATTTCAGTGTGTGTTAACAAAAAGAACGCCAAAAACTGCGTCTAGTGAGTTTGAGCTGATATGATGGGCATCTCAGCTGTGATATCTGAACAATTTAAACGGTTTAGTTGGCTGAACTAAGCGGTATCCTGATTGGCTGGACTTTTATTTAACGACACTTTCAATAATGCTTAATATTGATATTGGGGGTTTAACCCTCAGCCCTTGCAGCAATAAGTTCATACAATGAAATTCAAAATGAAATTGCAAGAGATATTAGAGCTAATAGTAGCGCCTCGACTTAGTTGTCACACTGTCATTATTGTATATTTATTCAGTATATTGGTTTGCATACTTACAAGCTTATGTAACGTTTATTACAATTGAACAACACGGCATTACAAGCAAGAGAAAAATATTCCCAGAAGTTTGTAAATAGTTTTGAAGTTCTGACATTTATGAAAATGGAAGAGTCTCACAGTTGTAAATAACATAAAATAACATGATTGAAATATGCAATACGAATGACGCAAATACATCCTATAAATAATACTAATCTTAATCAATATTGCCTCTTGGAAATATCTTTAACCTAATCAACCAGAAAACGCCGTGATGCAAAATGCAATTTCTCACATGCAATGCGGTTGTTAATCTTTTTTTCAGTTTAAAATGAGAAAATCAGATTACTGAATTATCTATGTGCTAGCTAAAATAAAACGTTTTTTGAGTAATCGAATGCTATGAAATTGCTTTAAAAGTATGACTATGACCATTTGAGAGAAAATATTCTTAGACGATATAAAATTCGTAAATATTGGCTAATTTTACTAAGAAAAGCGTCAAAAATAAAACTATAACTTACTATCTAGTCTTGAGTTGACAACGTCAAAGCTCTACGAAGTAACCAAACTTAATGAAATTCAAATCTACGATAAATTGTTTTCATTGTTATTCGGTCTTATTATTGTTATTAGCTGACATTACAATCTACAGCGCTTTAGATGACGCTCAGCAGTAAGCAAGGCAAAGAAGTCTAACTCACGTTTTTGACGTTTTCGAATGACGTTTTTAAAAATCTGTCATTTCACAGTCAAATTCAAACAACTCAACAAACAGCAAATAAGAGGTTATAGCTTTTGAGAAGGCTCAGCAGTGGGACTTTATCACGCAACTCAACAATAAGCAGCTTGGCAATTACACACACTATATGGCAATGAACTAAGCCAACTTACCTGTTTTAACGAAAAATAACCGTAATTTTAGAATCGGATGATTCTACCTACTGCTACCATACTGTTGTCAGCTTTCGAATGTCGATATTACTCTTACAGCTAAAATTTGATCAATGACTTACGCTTGAGAAGTTTTTCCGTTTTGCTTCAGCCTGGCATTTGTTAGAGGAGGACTTGGAGAGAATAGAATTATTCAGTGTTTAGCACACTGCTGGGTCAATTGAGATGATGATTGTCATTGGACATTATAATCGTGTTGATAAGATGTTTTCCTGTGAATGACTCTTGTAGTACTTGAATCCAATGATGCAATTGTATGCTAATTTTTGAGCATGACTTTGCATATACCAAAAATCGATCGTGCTCTTTTCATTTATTATCAACGCATAGACCCTTTAAAAACTATTCTTTCTTGTTCCGTTTTTTCCACGATTCTGAATACTCAAGGGAGTTAATCTGTAGTTGTACTCTGAGAACTCGACCTTGAGAATGGCACGAAAACGCCTGTAAATTCAATCTATCTATCAACTGAGCGGATTTCACAAAAAAATGGATTTTGTAATTCAGCAATATACTACCGGTTCAAATGTTACAAATTTTATAACATTTTATAACTTGGGCTTAGTTTTGACGTATTCCCGTGTGACTTTTCAAAACTAAGTATCCATATTATTTGCGTGTCACCTCTTTTGCATTGTTTTTGAGTATTTTTGACCACTGACGAAAGCTTTTATTTCTTGACTACCTGTAACTATTTTGGAAATGTATTCAAGGAACAACGTTTCGATAATACTTAGCATTTCCATCACTTGGGTGTGAAATGTTCCTTATGGGCCTAGATACTCTCATAAACCACACTTTTTTGGCCAATCAGAGCGCGCGTTAGAAATCATCTATTTAATAATAGGATCTTTCGATCATGTTTTAAATTAAGGAATCGAGAACATGCAACAGATTACATATCACGCCTCTGACAGGGTTGGGTATATGAGGTGGCCGGCCATTGATAAAATCGTCCAGAATAACTACTCATTAAGCATTTTTTTTTAATTTTTTGTTAAAACGCCAGTCACGTGTGAAGCGATTTCCTCGTGTTTTTGCGATTAAGCCGTTCCTAACAGTTTTTTTTTAATCAAGACTACCATGGGGGACAAAATGTATGAAGTCCTCTTCGAATAATCTTGTAAAATTATGTCAGTATAGCCCTCGTTTTCAAAGTTGCTGCATGGAATCGCGCCATCATAAGGCAGCATTGACTGAGGGGTCTTGGGTAATGGCCATGTTGTTGCAATGATTGTAAAAAAATGTCCACAATATCATTTTTCCTTGTCAGTCTCATCGTCTTTTACTCCGACGAAGGATTAACGTCCGAAACGTCAGTAAGTCACTTCTCCTTTCTTTTTTACGGTGTTTAATTTATCTTTTTACACAACTGTTTCTTTAGGAACACCGATGCAGCTCACACTAGTTTACCGCTAGTTCCCACTTCAGTTTTTTGTCTTACTGTTGATAGCTGAAAAGAAAACATCGTTTTATGATGATTTTCTCCTTAAAAATAGTAATAATATTGCATGCCCTGCGATTACTGGTCAAGCCAGGTACAAACACACCGAGAATGGTTGTACCTTGGTTAGAGAAAAGTTGATGGGACCTCCGCAAATCGCGAAGATCTTACAATATGCAGATGGAGAAATAAAGGCATCAACTTCTCGTTGTTTTAAGACCGTGAGTGTTGGTCCGGACGGATGGGGCATAGCCCTTCCTCAGATAGTTTTACACTTACACAATAAGGCTAACTTTACCACTGCAATTTTAATACAAGTTCATACATATACAGTTTTTATACACTAGTGTGTGCTCATATCGGAACTAAACAGCTACTGATGAACAAGATAAGACGTCATTGAACAGCAGGTACAGAAATATCATGGATTCCATCTTTATCAACAACACGAACTGCGAAATTTGGTAGGCTGACAATAAACCTTTTTTGAACCTAAAACAAATAATGAAAAAAGAAGTTGTTAGTCAACGTTGTTGCAACTTGAAGGTAAGTTAAAGCTAGTACTGAAATCCAACAATATTCTGGAAAAAATCAAAAGACAAAAAGAAGAAATTTAGGGTGATTAAAGTAAAATTGGGTCGTAGATATGAAGGGTTGATAGCCTGTTTTAAAGTCATTCAAGGTTGTGTGTGGATTTTATCCACTTGGTATGTATTTACTCAGTGGATAGTGCTATATATTCACCCAATATACAATCAGCCCCATGTCCTTGCTTAATTTTAATGGAACACACTTTACCTCACTGATTACTTTCTTGAGGAGATCCATAGCTTCTTCACGATTTATATCTACACAAACACCGTACACATGTTAGAAGAAACAAAGGTAGGCTGGATTTATAGATAATTTTACAATGAGGATTACAGCAATTTTTTCAGCTTAATACTGCATATAGCTTGATCTGTATGAGAGTTTCATGATAAAACGTGAGCTAGAAATAAAAAAATATAAGTTCTTACTTGGCTTATAAAATCTGTCCATTACACTGAGAGCAAAGAAAGACCCATAGCCATGTGCACCAAATGGGACCTACACAAAGCAAGAAAAGTATTAGGCAAACATGAGTCATGTGACCATGAGCTGGTTTGGATGGTACGACACTGTGGTGTGCAGTGATCAAACATTCATTGCTTGCCTTTAGTTCACATCATAGTTTAGTACAGTGAACATATAAGAGAAAATCAACTGATGACGTCTTTAACTTTAACGCTAAATGGCTTTATAGGTCAAATTTTGCCCTGCACCATCCTGATTTTAAACCTTCACAGACTTGTTTCAAATAGTTTCTGTTTGCTTTGACAGTTTACTTTGATAATTGGAGTTTGCTGATTATTTGCATGTTTTGACTGGCTCAATTTCATACCTTTGCCATAGCTGCCAGGTAATCCATGTGGTATAACTCAGGACCCTGGTCACCATACCCAGCAATTAAAAGATTTACCATAAATGGAGTCTGATAAAACAATACAACTATTGATTATAAATAATGTGCTTACAGTTTGTGTGTGAATTATTACAACTATATAACAATAAAACCATGAGGTTGAATTGACTATGAGTTGTTGCTCTATGAGGCTTTATTCTGCCAAATGGACTTTCAATTCATATAATTCCATTCCAATTTTCCATGGCAAACATTTTCCTCTGCTCTGATTGGTCAAGAGTCAACTGTGTGGTGTGATAGTGCCTGCCGTAGACAGATACTATCAATGCATAGAGCCCGTTGCTTAAAGAAAAAATAAATCATGATATAATCAATATAAGGATAGTGTCAAATGAAGCCTTGGCTGCTATACATAAGATCTTATAAAGTCTGTGATTCCAACATTTCGCTGTCCACAGCATCGTCAGGGATAACATAAGATCTTACGAATAGCAACCAAGGCTTCATTTCATACTTTCCTTAGATATGCATTCTAAAGGATAAGTATGTTAATAAAAACAATAGAGCAGTTGAATCTCGGGCACTTTGCTGTGACAGTTGCACTTGGAAACTAATGTTTCTCAAAACTTCATAGTCGCCCTCAAATTGTGTTCTCCGGGAGTATTGGCTTTTCACAAAATCCGCTTCTGCGGGGCAAGTTTCATAGAACAACATGCCCTCAATTCAACTACTTCATTGTTTTAACTGTCTAACTGTTTTATTATCCACCAAATTATTGGGCAAATTTGAGAGGTCATAAAGAACAGTTTTTTTACCATTTCCATTCAGTTTCCTTAGAATCAGAATGCTGAATTTCTGATTTACTTACAGAACTTCTGAGGTACTCTGCTAATGTTCTTCTTGTAAAGTTTGATGCTGCATGTGGAGTCAACTCATAACCTGAACACAGTTCATTAGTAGGAAGTCATTAATATTATTATCAATAATTTCAATTGTGCTGTCAACCCTCCCAGATAACCAAGGAGTCTACATGGATTTTGAATCATATCTTCCAGCCTCAAGATTGCAACAAATTATCCAGTGCTGTTTTGAGAAAAAGAAAGAACTCATGTTTTTTAAGTATATTTTCAGATAAATGGGACATGATTGGTGCATGAATTAGTATTGAAGTGAAACATTAGTAGTCTGCACCATTTTGTTGTTGTTGTTTTCTTTTGGGGGGCACGAAATCAATATATATATTTTGGACAGGCAATAGTTTCCTTCACAGTTACTGCGCCATTTTGAAAGGTAGCCGTGCCTTTACATCGAATCGAGATGACCGCTGAGCGTGCAATGATAGAAACCTTGTTTCACACCTACAGACAATTATTCACAGTTTTCTATCATTGCACGCTCAACGGTCGTCTCGCTTTGATGTAAAGGCACAGCTACCTTTCAACATGGCACATGTAACCGTGAAGGAGACTATTCTGGTTTTTTAAGTGACCAAGTCAGAAAAGTGCAAACAGGATCAGTTTTCCTGGTAAACACTCACCATTTCTCATTTTGTAAAGTTGTACATTCTTTTCAATGTACTCGGCAAACTGTGTGGTGTCTCCTGATTCTCCAGACACTAGCATCAGTAATTTACTACTTAACTGAGTCATTTTGTCATAATCTGTAAAGGAAGGTAATAAAAAGTTGAAATAATTTAAGCTTACTACAGTTTACGGGGTCTTGTGCACAGCACAACTGTTATACTTGATGGGTCTGTAAAAATCTTTCAAATTATTTCAATGCAGTACAAAAGCATTTTTAACCCAATACTCTTGAAATTTCGTTTAAAATAGTTTATTTGATATCTTTTCATTAGATCAGAAGGTGAAAAGAAACATTTTTCCCTGAGTCATTGTGACAACTCAATCAAACGAGCTTTGAAAGTCCACTGAAAGGAGCTTCATAAAAGACGCAAGAAAACAACTTCTGCGTAACAATAAACCCTAGAAATGATGAACATCTTACCTTCTTTCATTCTAACAATGCTACGTCCACTAGAGCTATCACTAGCGACTAAAACGAAGCCGTCACCTTGAATGCCAACCATAAACTCCATTTTGGATTTTTTTCCTCGTGCCTTGGTCAGCGGCTAGTTTCAAAAGCGCATGTTCATTATTAATCAAAATGGCGGATGGAACTGTATGACTTGAGGCGTAAAGAAATTTTTTGTAGTTACGGTATTTATCAAAATGGCACGAAGAAGATCCTCAATTCCAAAAGCTCTCCTTGGTGTATTTTGTATTGTATTTGTAATAGTTTTATACAAACTTCTTTCTAGTGATATGTTTGGTGTTGAAGACGGATTTTCTGTGAGGGATATCGCGGATCTTCAAGTCACGTCTTCTTCAACGATATTAAACCATATTAAAAATAAGAAAGATTTAAGTACTTTGAACATTGCAGTCCTTGTTATTGCATGTAATCGTCCATCTGTGAAACGATGCTTGGATTTGCTACTAGAAACACGACCACCCTCTCAGACGTTTCCCATTGTTGTGAGCCAAGGCTGTGACCATGAAGAAACAGCAAAGGTTATCAAAACTTACGGTGACTCCGTCAAATACATAAAGAACTCAGACTCCTCAGATGTAGAAGTTCCTCCAAGTATGATCCATCTTGAAGGTTATTATAAGCTCTCAAAGCATTACAAATGGGCATTAACCCAAGTATTTGATGTCATGAAATATAGTGCTGTTATTATTGTTGAAGATGACCTGGAAATTGCTCCAGACTTTTTTGAGTATTTCTCAGCAGCATTACCTATCTTAAATAATGATCCTACCCTTTGGTGTATTTCTGCATGGAATGATAATGGTAAATTAGGATATGTCCGTAGCAATGATGTCTTGTTTCGCAGTGACTTTTTTCCTGGTCTTGGTTGGGCTTTGACCAATTCAACATGGGGTGAATTGAAATCTAAGTGGCCTGCTGCATTCTGGGATGACTGGATGAGACATCCAGATCAGCGTCAAGACCGTGCCTGCATTAGACCAGAAATACCTCGTACTAAGACATTTGGAAGGATCGGTGTTAGTAATGGGCAGTTTTATGATCAACACTTAAGCAAAATACAACTGAATAACAAATTCTATCCATTCACAAAAAAAGATATGTCATATCTCAAGAAAGATACCTATGATAAAATCTTTAAAGGAATGGTTTACAATTCAAAGTTAGTAAATGCCAATGACATTATTCATAATAAAATCCCAGAGGAGACTGTGAGAGTTGAGTACAAAACAAACAGTGATTTTATTTCTGCTGCCTCCAAATTTGGTCTTATGACTGACTTAAAAGCAGGGGTCCCTAGAATGGCTTATTTGGGTGTGGTAACCTTTATATATGGGAAATATAGAGTTTTCTTGGCTCCAGAGACTGGATGGAGTGGATACACTGATCAAATTAATTAAACAAAGAACAAGACCTTCCTCTAGTATTGTTGAACTGAGGCTGATCGGTAAAATATCCAAATTGTTTTCATACTATAAAAAAGACAATTTGCATACATTGTAAATACTTGATATTATTTTACCTTTGGATGTCAGAATCATGCCTAGTCCCTTCTCCTTAATTTGACCATATTAAATGACTCCAGTGATCTCAAAACATACTGTATTGATAGTCAAAATAATAGCAGTCATTGTCTTTTGCAATTGCATATAACTTTAGGTTATTACTCAAGTCATGAACACATCAAGGTGATGTTGAAAAACAAAATAATATTTGATTCTGGTAAATGTCATTAATTTTGCTTCCCATGTTTAATGTTACTCTTCCAGTATAATAATGTAAAATTCAAAGAAAAAAAGTTCAAAGAAGAATTAAGTATTCAAATTATATTTTTATATTGCATTT